GCCAAAGTTTTTATTTTTTTTGGTTTACGATTTTTTTACACAAAAATATGCATTGGGCGGTCGAAAAATAAAAATAAAAATAATTTGGAACCTTGGCATATTTTTTTTCTCGAGTAGCATGTATTCAAATAAAAATAATAAACACACAAGATTTTTCAACTTTTAAAATTATTTTTCTTACCATTCGGTTTTATGTCAAGAAAAATGAATCACACGTGAAATGACTCAAGAACAGAAATGTGAGTATCAGGCTCTGTTACTGTTGATGGTTTTAATTCTTCCGGGTTACAAGTTTTCATAATAGACACATTGCACTGGGACAAATATGGGTAAAATTAAGCAAATTGACTATTCTCTGGTCAGCCTTTCCACTTACGAAAAAAAATTTGGAAACTCTGAAAGTGATGCATTGCTTTCACAACATTTAACCTTTACCTTAAGATACGTGTGTCCAAGGACCAATCTAGACCCATGAAGGAAACTTCACTTCATTGTATATATATAACATTAAGGTCACTTGATTTAAAGACACTAGGCAAGTGTCATATTATCTGTATATATTGCATTAATCATACCCCCAGTAAAACTCGGTAATCCGAGCACGGACCCTCTGACCGCTCAGGTCCGACACTTGTTTTCAATATAAAATTCTTTTTCTAAAAAAAGTTTTGATGCAAACCTGCATGCCGATTGAACAGCTACTTGTAAATGTTTATCGAATCTGTCTTCTGATGTGTAACCTCTTAGAAAGCTAATAACTTCACAATTTATCAGTAAAAATATGTCTGTATTCACAGCATGAATTAATTATTTGACAATAATAAAGATCTAAAATCTTCTCCAACATCTTTGGCATGACATCGATAGCTGTCCAACTGTTTTGCGTCTTGTTGTGTATAACTTGTAACGGTGGACTTTTTCATACCCGGAAGTGTAAAATCTAGAGGAGTTCCGACAGAGTATTCGGCCGATGCATTAGCTGGTCAACATGGTCAATGGCAATGTGGTTTGATAATCTGTATTTGTGGAGTTCATTGAATTTTAGTGAGAGTTTGGGTTAATGATTAAGATGTGTTGTAAATTTTGGTTTGGTCAAGAAAATTTTGAGTCTGACACATTATTTTTATTTTCGTAAATAGGGAAAAATAGGGTCGGCGGAATCGTAAACCAAGAGAAAAAAAAACTTTGGCCTTACGATTTTTTTTTAAAAATGCCACCTTTACATTAATTTGGTTATTCTCGAGTTGTAGAGTGCATCCTGATTATCATGTTACAGTAGTTATGGTAAACCAGTATATTATATAAGAAAATTATTTTTGTAGTTTTCATTGGCTGAAAGTGTGTCATGTGATTTTCCTCCTTTTGTGATATTGATGCGGAAAATAATATGGCACAACACGCCTTTCGGTTGCACTAAAGTTATGTAGAACGTGACGTCATAATATAAAAAGCATGAATTTAACCATTGTGATGTAATGACAGCCAAGTCCGTTCAGTTAAGACTGTGTCAGTGCATTCAATTCGAGTGATTTTGTAATATAACTATTACGGACTTCAGTGAATGGTCGATATGTGGTTATAAGGACTCATGGCAACTGATATTGACCTCAGACACAGCAGGCTCATTTGCTATCACTTTCGGTCTATCAATTGCCATGTGTCCTTATAACCATATATCGACCTACACTGAAGTCCATAATTGTATAGTATCGATGATGCAATTTATCCAATATATAAATATCTGTCCCACCTGTCTGTTTAAGCAGCAACGAAACTCTCCTCCTCAACGAAAGAGCGCACCAAGGGAGATAATCTCGAACCTTGTGTATTGCACAATCTGGCATCCAAAACTGAAACTGGCTGACCGTCACGGTCTGATAGAACTTAAGACATGTGACTTACCTGCGCAGAGCTGTCTCTGAATTGTGTTTATCACTGAAAAGGTAAGAGGCGGCATAGGTTTTCCATAAGTTACTCTTGGTAGATAACTGCCCCCTCGGAGAGTTTTCTTTTCACCCGCATAATGGTGGTGACACAAACATTTGGAGAAGTTTCTAGGGGCTCTGCTTTTCAAGGCAAATAAAAGCGGCTTAGCCTTGGATACCTGCATATCTTTCCAACAATTCTGAGTCTGGAAGTGAAAGTAACAGAAAACATAAAGTTTGCGTGAATTAAGCATGCTGAGCCAACTTTTTAGATTATCAGATGAATATTGCTCTTTCAAATACTTTGAAGTCAGTTCACTTTAAGTTTAAAAAATCCTTAATTTCTTCCATTTAAGTATTTTAACTCCCCAATATTTTTTCACAAATTCTCATTTTGCCTACTTTCTTTTTCTCTGAAGTCGATCTGTAGATTGTTGAGCCCGATGTTTGAAGACATTCATGTACAATAGATAGATTATATGGCGTATATGCCCTCTTTTTAAAAAGAATTATAAATGTGTTTTTTGTATTAATATTTAATAAATACTATTTGGTCAAAAAAGTCACTTGTCTGATGAAAACAGCTACACTACATTTTGATCGGGATCGTGGTCTTGAATAATTCGCGAAATTGGGAGAATGTCAACATGATTCATGTAAGAGGTCAAGTGAAAGATTAAAGGGACAATATGGGTTAATCTGGACCTAAATAAGGTATGAAATTTCCAACTTAAAGTTTTTATACTAAAATGGTTGTATTTGATATCCTATATCAAGTTTTAACTTATTAAGTAAACGTTGATCCTCAAAAGATGTATATAAATAAATATTGTGAAAGGATAACCGGATGTTTTCACTTAAGCAAAACTTTATTCAAATATTGAGGAAGCAAGGATTGATTATTAACTTAATTCTATGGATAAAAATTTATTGTGCCTTTTATCACTCAATGGTACTACATTATTCCCTGGTCAATATAAATTTATATATATATAGTCATCATTGTAAGGGTCTTACTTATAAAACATTCTTAATTTAAAAGGATGAATGTGTAGTACACGTTGCGGACGGAAGTTGTTACATTATAATGTTACTTCTGACACGATTTTATATAACATTAGATACAGAACATGAAGCATGAAAGATATTGCTCTAATTTTAATATTCACAACCAAAATTATCAGCTATTAAACTGTAAAGAATTTTTAATCTGGAAATCTTCTATTTGCAAAGAAATTGTTTATTTTTTTTAAAGATTTGAATTATTTCATTGCTAGCAAATTAATAAACATGATACTATTAATTTGATCAAATGTCTCTTTACAACAGTTTCTAATAGCATACTCTTTGGCATATATTTGAGTCGTAAACTTTAGAAAGGAATTAAATAATTGCTTGATATTGCAAGATTTTTATTGTTCTTTTTATTTATTTACTATTGTCAAAATTTCATGACTGCATGTGTAACTAACACTTGTACAGCACAGCAGATGAGAAAGGAATCCAATGAAATATTTTAATCCCAATACAATCAATATCTCTTTAAACTGTTGATCTATTTTGTCAACATGTGCCTGGCAGATATAAAATAATTGGCTGTCTTGTGTTATCTGTACTTTATTTCTTGTTTAAAGCTTTATATACTGACACATACCTGCATTTTGTTTTATATTTCTGTATTTCAGAATCTAAATATATGGGAGTACTGTGTATATGAATGTATCTGAATTTATAGGCTCACTCACAAATATTCTGTTTTACACAACATATATTTTACATTTCTTAAATAATCCGCGAAATTGGGAGAATGTCAACATTCTCATTATGGTAAGTCATGTTCAGAGTTAGAAGTATACAGTTGTTGACCATGTTGACTGGGGTAGAGGGAAACAGTCGATCTGTTGGACAGGATTGCAAGCTGTTGCCCAAGGCCGTAGACTGCGGGCAACAGTTCGCACTCCGGTCTTACAGGTCCAACAGGTTTACTGTTACCCAAGACTCCTGTCGACAACTGTTTTAATTGTTACACTCCTTGAATGTAAAGATAACTCAGTTTAGTGCCATTTGACTTCAGCAGGCAACAGTCTTTTTTAACAATCAATTTTAAGAGTTCCTGGAGCGACAGTCATAGAAACTGTTGGACTTTTTAAAGTAAGAAATAATATACAGGGACTGATTAGTAGGGGTTAATAACAATGAGAAATATTTAATCAAAAAATAAAATCTGCTATACTCATTTTTTAAAAAAAATATTAATAGAGGTGTATAAGTCACTGTATTAACATAATTCAGGAAACAAGTATTCTTACTATGCACAATATATCAATATTTTCCTTATGCATTGTTATGATTTTTATGCATGATAAAATTCTTATAAATGTAGTAGCATATCAATTACTGTACAGTTATAAGTCCTACATGAATGTTTAGCTTTCCAGCTGGCTATACATAAATATACATATATATTCATTGATTTTTTTCAGTAAGCATATCATACATGTTTATGTACATTCATTAGCAAAGCTAATACTTCAGAAATCATTCTTTGGAAACAAAATCTACTGAACGTACAATGTTATTTGTAAAAAGAGGATGTAGTTCGTAAACTTGTTAGTTAGAGATCATATTGTTAATGTTTAAGAGAAATCTGCAAATACATGTACTAGCATGGTTTTAGGTAAGGAGAGAGAGAGAGAGAGAGAGAGAGATTATCAATTTAAAAAAAGTAAATGCTAGTCAATTCAGCTGCAGAATTGCATGCAGATGCCAGAGTTTCCTGTCGTAATTAAAATTTAGATCTTGAGATAGATATTTACGTGGAACCATGGTTACATGTACGAGTCTTCCTGATTATTGTGATGTTTTCTTTAGATTTTCTTTCCTTCCTGTTTCTCTTTTCTATATCTCCCATTAACACTACACTTTAGACAGTTCTAATGCTATAAAATGTGCACCACATTTTATCATTTATGTAATTGATTTTCTATGCCATGTAATAAAAAAAATAAGGCAGATGAATATAAATAAATTTATATTTTAGATATACTTGGTCTGTCCATGCACCCTTTACTCTTTTATTCTGCAGAAACCTGACCCATTACCAATAAATTCAAATTGTTGGTGCTAACTTTTTATAAATTTTAAATCTATATAAATTTTAACTGTCATAATGTTGTATTGTTAGAGCCTGGATTTAATTAATATTTCATTTGTTTATCTCTTGTAACAAGATCTTTTTGGAAACATTTTTGTCCTTGGAGTCTCATCCACCTTTAGTGCTAGGGCTTTCAATGTTAACATGTGTATTTCCTTTTACCTCTGGCTCTAACTTTGATCTTGACATTTGTCCTAGTTACATGTATCTTTGCTGTATAACTTTAAAAGGATTAATTGGTACTAGGTACCAACTTATATTTTGGAAAAGCCACCATTTGGGGGCACCAGTGTTGTTTTTAAATGAAAGATGGATAGGGTCTATTCAGTCCATCATTTGCCAGAAAACTGAATCCTAAAGTGCACCTGTTTTAGGAGTCATGCAGGGTTCAAATATGGATTGTCTTTTGCTATTACTTCTATATCAAACTGTATAATTTCTGTATTTATGTGATTTCTTTTCAGAAAGGATTTTTTTTTTGAAATTATGATTAGTGATATTAACATGATGTGCATATCTTGTTGTATAATGAGTAGTTCTGTATATGTAGACATGATTGTCATTACTTTCTGTATTTATTAAATCATTTTTTTTTCTGTATATGAACAGAAGATAGAGACAAGGAAGAAGGAATCCAGAGAATGACATTCCAGGACAAGTCCACCAGCTCTATCCTGCCCTACACCTGTGTTTATATAGGTAGGTAGATATAATCTACCTGTGCATCAAGCACTGTTAGTTTTCCTTATCTTTTGTAAGGTGCATATTGAAGGGTTGTCAACACTGTTTAGCTAGCTAAGAAGAATGTCAGATCTAAAGATCATACAGATTTCTGTGTTTTTCTACTTTGATCTTTATATATGTAGGAAAGTAGGAAAGCAGTAACAGAGATAAGAAGAGCTAATGCCAAGTAAGGTGTCAGTTGTCTGTCCGTCTGTCTGTCTGTAAAAAAAATTTCAAAATGCTCCTTCTCGGAATCTCCTACAGTTTTGGTCTGATTTCAATATAACTTGGTACACAAGTAGAATACACTAAGATACATAATTAATTTAGTGCATCAGTTTTTTTGTTTTGATGAACAGTGTTCCATGGTTACTAAAACAGAAATATCTCTAAAATATACCTTAGCCTACAGTTTTGGTCTGATTTCTATATATGGCATACAAATCATGCTTGTAAGAATTAAGCATTCATTGCAACAAAGGAGTCAACTTTAGCTAAACCCTGTTTATATTTTGAAAGGATTCGGTTTATACAATGAACACAAATCATAATTAAAAAAGCAGAAATCTTGAATTATAGGAGAAGAAATAAATTATCTCAGGCTCTCAGCCCAGGAGTCCAGTGGTGGTACTACAGGGAAAGAAAATCTGGAAATATATTTTATATGCGATGGTTCATTTTTTGCTCATACTGTGAAGAAATAAAAAAAAAATTAATTTGACCAACAGACTTCAACATTCAAATGATTTTTGACATGTACCTTGGTACATGTAGATTTAAGTTAATTTTTATGCCCCCCTTTGATAAGGTGTTCTTGTTGAATTTTCCTGAATGTGATTTATGGGAGGTAACTCTAAATGTCCTAAAGCTAGGTCATAAATAAGACTTGTATGATAGATGAAAAGTAAGATTTCATGAGAAAAAAAATATTTTCAGTTTATCATCTAGAATTAAACATTATTATGCACTAGGAACACTTTTTAGCTATTCATCAAAAGGACTTTTATTTGGTTTTAGATCTCATTTTTTTTAACAAACAGTTTGGCAATATTAAGAAAAAACCTCTTCCATGCATTTACACGTATAGAAGCTTTTTTTTTCTTGTTAATTAAGTTGAAAGGGCATATAACTTAGGTACAAGGTAGATACATATTGTTTTTTTTCTAAAAGGAAATTTCAACGTTTTATTTTTGCATATATTTTCTGTGGTTCGGTCATTTGTAGAAAAAGAGAAGACTTATAATAAGACATCAGTCATATATATCTACGATAATGGATCACACCTATTTCTCACAGGGTAAACTTCAATAACATAAGTCCTATTGTTTTATATACCTATTTGTTGAAAAATATTTTTGATATGGTTTAATCTTCCTGAGCCATCAATCATGAAAATAAACCTGTATTTGCATATTAAGGTATTGATTAACTCATAATTCATCATTGTACTGAATTAAGTCAGACAAAAAATAGTTTCTGTGCAATGATACTGAACGTAATAGATTAAAGGACAATGACAATGAATTCCAGCTGAGAGGTAAACAATGGCATTCCCTGATTTTAATTATTTGTCAGGTGCTCTACATGTGATGCTTAATCATCAACTCTAATAAAATTAATATGTACATTATTTGACCTTGTAGATGCAGAGTTCAAGGACATCTTTGGAGCCGCCTCGCGGTGTCTGACATGTTGTGGAGACAGAGAGCAGGTCATTCAAGATCTGAAGCAGATGTGGACGACATCGACTAATCAGAATCCTGTCTTACCTTGTCTGTCAGTCAGAACCGGTCTAGACCTGTTCCTGCAGGTCAAAAATTATCCACCAGGCTCCGAGATCATCATGTCAGCCATTAACATTCCTGATATGGTGTACATTGTTAAACACCATGGACTAAAGGTTTAAATTTATACTAAACACAGTGAAAGGCAACCCCCCCCCCCCCAACCCCCAACCCACCCCCCTTAGATAATTTTTTTTTATATTTGCAAGCATTAACACCAAGTGAAATTATTTTTTTTAAAAACTGCCTTACAAATGAAATTTCTTTTGTTACCATACTACCAATCACTTGATTTTCCATTCATTATTAGCTCACCTTAGCTGAAAGCTGAAATAAGGTTTTCTAATCACAATTTGTTGGGCATCCTATTTTTAAAAATTTTTCTCCAGACCCACTAGGCCAGTTTTCACTTACCTAGCCACAAAGCATCCTTTGGTAAAGGTATTTTAAATTGTTCAAATGAAGGTTCAAATTTATTTTATTAAAAAAATGAAAATTTGTAGCATGTTCTCAATATCTTTTTCTCAAGGACCACTTGGTCAGAAAAGATCACACTAAAAGAGAAATCCTCCTTGCATAATTTAGGTTTAAAATTATTAAAATCATTAGTATTTAGCAGAAATATATATATATATATATATATATATATATATATATATATATATATATATATATATATATATATATATATATATATATATTTATATAAAAAAAGCATCCTCATTTAGTGTAGTTTGTTCCAATCATGACCCTGTGGGTCATTTTATGAACTGTTTTTTGCTTTTCTCTAGCTAAAGTCTAGGGTGAGGGATGTGGCCCTTGGTCCTCTTGTATTTCTCTCTCTCCTTTCTTATATCTTTTTGCCATTTTACCTGGTCTTTTCATAACACAATGACATAAGCTGTGAAGTTGTGAGACATAAAATGTTGACAAAGTTTTCCTCCTTAATTTTACAGGTTGTTCCTTTGGATGTTGATATAGAAAGAACAAGTCCAAAACTAGATCAACTGAAGCACCTCATTTCCACAAAGACAGTAGCCATATTAGTGGCCCATATATATGGGAAGCAGGTAGAAATGGACAGTATTATAGACATAGCTCAGGAGCAGAATCTAGTCGTGATAGAGGATTGTGCTGAGTGTTTCTGTGGATTTGATTGGTTAGGAAATCCCAGATCTGACCTTTCCCTTTTTAGTTTTGGTGTAATTAAACCTTCAACGGCTTTTGGTGGTGCAATAGCAAAAATTCGTGATCAAGATTTATATGACAAAATGCATAGACATTATTCTAAATATCCTGTGCAAAAGCATGGGGAATATTTCAAGAAGTTGACCAAGTATTTTATGGTTTACTTGTTGTTAGACTGTCCTCAGGTGGTCAAACCTGCCATGTGGCTTACCCGTACTCTAAATATAGACCACAAACGCTACGTTATAAAAATGCTACGAGGATTCCCTAGTGATATGGTTCATCGGATCCGACAGCAGCCATCCAATGCTCTGTTACAAACACTTCGACACAGACTGAAAAACTTCAAGGCCACGGAATTCAAGTCGACCAGTATAAAGGGTGACTATGTTAGGGAGCGCCTCCCAGAAAGTGTGACTATTGTGGGGGCAGAGAGCACGGTCAACAACTACTGGCTCTACCCTATACTGGTGGTAAGTGTTTGTTACTACTGTTATTTACATAACATGGAATGTGTGAGAATTTCCTGGGCAAACAGCACCCTGGACAGTTGTGGACCCTATCCTATACATGTATTGATGATAAGTTTACTGCTAAGTAATTTTGAAAGTTTAAAAAGGCAGTAAAAACAAGATATGAATTTGAAACACTCTGCTGTTTGGCACATCATGGCCAAGGTTAAGTTTTTTGGAGCAGTTTTCAAATTACAGTACTTCTATGTCCTATATTTTAAAGATATATACATGTGTACTTATACTTTAAAGTGATATTTATATACATTCAAATTAGTAGCAAAATCATAAGTCTGGGTTACTATAGGGTGGGATAAGGAATTTTAAATACAAGGTTTTGGTAAGCAGAAAATTGTTACATTTACAGTTTCTGAATTTAGTATAAATAATCCAAAGATAAACAAGAGGCCCACGGGCCTTATAGGTCACCTGAGTATCATGTAACAACTTTCCAGCGATTGTATTTGGTTCGTGTTTTTCCAAAAGCCATGAAATTCACAAATTTTGAAGGAGGCACCATTGCTTATCAAAGGGCAGATTTCAAAGCATTAATTTATTTTTAGGTGTACCCCCCTGGTACCCCTGACCCAGCGGCCCTGAAATTATCTATTTTGAAAGAGGCCCCTTTCTTCATTATAAGGCCAGCATTTTTTTTTATGCTTAGGTTTACCGGTAGTTATGAACATGAGAATAAAAAAGTCCCGAAGGAGAAGGAAATAAAAAAAATTTTTGATAAATCAATTATTAACATTTGTACATTCTTTTTTATGCTATTCTAATAGGCTCCTTACCACTGGACACATGATGCTTACAAATAGGAAAGTAGAACATTTAATTGCTTATTTCATCATCTGCCAGTTTGGGCCAGTTATATAAATTTTGTGATGTTGGTCAAAATATATTTTAAAAAATCAATTCTTTAAAAGTCTTTCAATATATCATCATTTTTTAAATATGTGTTAGGTGAATTTGTAGACATTGTTCTAAAATTTACTTGATGCCTAAAATTATAATTCCTATCATAAAACAGACAGGGAGAATTTTATTGGGGAGTAGGGTGAACATTTTTTCAATTAAGTATAAAATAATTTTTCTGGCTGATACAAATGATACTACATGATATATTTGTATATTCTTGCCTTTTTAGTTGAATTTTTTTTTTATTTCTTTAGGTTATTGTTTATTTCTTCCTCAAATGGACTTAACTTCTCCCATAGTTTTATTCATTACATCTGATGCATAAGCAACCCTTTTCTGAAGAATGATGCTTAAACTGTAAGCTATAACAGAGACCTAAACAATGTTGCTGGCAATATGCAATAGCTACCACGGGCAGTTTAAAACCTGGAGGAGGAAAATAATTTACAGACAGATACTTTTGAAACAGAATTATAATTATCTCACCAGCATGTCATTGTGCAACAAAGTCGTCAGCATTTTATTTCTCCTTTGAATGGGTGAAACGTTTTGAATGACACTCGTATCGATGAATTTTACACAAAACCAAGCTATCTTGTCAGATCTAGCTTTATTTACCCGCCTGTGTCATCTTAAAACCGGAAGTGCGAGTTCGTAAATTTGAAATCTCGATCCCGACTCAAATTTGAATGGAAAGAAAAAAAATTTTCTATTTTTTTTCTGAAAATTCAAAACCTTGAGTGGAGGGTTTGTAAAACTGAAAATAAAATAAATCCTGGCCTTAAATATGTAATTAGATCATTAGTACATTAACCAGGAGCAAAGGATAAGATGTTCAAAGAATTCATGCATTTCACTATATAATCATTAGAGCCCCACCCTAAAACAAGAACCCCTGACCCTGGGGCCATACAATTCACAAATTTGGTAGAGACACTCTTGCTCATCATAACTATGTACTTAGTTAGTTTATTTAATACCCAGGTGCAGAGAAGAAGATTTTCAAAGAATTCATGTATTTTCACTATATAATCAATAGAGCCCCGTCCTAACACAAGAACCATGGGGCCATAAAATTCACAATTTTGGTGAGGCACTCTTGCTCATCATAACTATGCACTTAGTTGGTTTATTTAATACCCAGGAGCAGAGAAGAAGATTTTCAAAGAAATAATGCATTTTCACTACCTACTTATTTAGCCCCACCCTAGCACTAGAACCCCTGACCCCAGGGCCATGAATTTCACATTTTTGGTAGAGGACTCATTGCTGATTACAATCATGCAAACAGTTTGACTGCTTGATGTCCAGGAGTAAAGAAGAAGATTTTTAAAGATTGCATTAATTTTAGTGGTTTTGGCCCCACCCCTCAAGCCCCAGGGGGGCAGGGATCATGAAATTCACAATTTTTGTTCCCCTTCACCCATAGATGCTTTGTGCCAAATTTGGTTGAAATTGGTTCAGTGGTTGCAGAGAAGAAACTGAAAATGTTCAAATGTTAACGCACGACGGACGACGACGGACGAAAACAGATAGCAATAGGTCACCTGACTTTACTCAGGTGACCTAAAAATTCCATGCTTACACTTTGTGATGACTTTGATCAAGTCTCAACTATCATACTTTGAACCTCCTGAGATTTGAAAAGGTTTTTCAGCATCTTAAGTAATACTCTATACATGGAAATTTTCGCTCCCGTTTTCTTTTGCCCTTTTCGCCCTATCCCCCTTTGGGTGAATTTGAAACAGGGCGAATGCAAAGAATATAGCATAATTTCTTAAACAGAACCATGACTGGGTGAATTTAAAACAGGATTAAATTGTTTTCAAGTATGAAAGGGCGAAAATAACATGGGGCGAAAATAACCCTGTATACAGTAGAAGGTAGGCTGCTTTAAAACAGTTATTCTAATTAGGATTTCAGAATGAATGCTTTGAAATAATTATTCTAATTAGGATTTCAAAATGAATTAGTATTTAGAAAGTTTTGACTATTGACAGGAAAACCCCGACACAGTGGTTAAGATTCTGAATGCTATGGGGATTGATGCTTACCGAGGCGCCACTCAGCTGAACATCATCGAACCCGAGAAATGGAACCCCCACCTGGACTATTTTGCCCCACTGATCCACTATTACCCCCATGAGGCACGCTATCTCATTGATCATGTCGTGTACCTACCAGTCAACAAATCTGTGCCGTTCCATGTTCTGGACCAGATTTGTAAAGGGTTGGAGGTGGCCATTAAAATCAGCAAGAATGGTCGAAGTGTTAATGTCAGGCCCCAGTCCAAACTGTAGTCCTGGATCTAAACATTCCAAGTGTTCTCTAAGTCTAATGTTTGTTGAATAGTACAAGTAGTTTTCTTCTGGCTAAAAGTTTCTTCTCTTAAATAGTTTTTCTATAATTTTTAGCACACAAACAATCTTCCTCTAAGGGATTTTTTCTATAATCAGATACCCACGGGTGATCTTGTCTTTTACTCATCATGATAGGTAAAAAAGGATATCACTCATGGGTATCCAATGATGATGAGTTATGAGAAATATTTTTTTAAAAATTCATTTTAAATGAAGAAGACTAAAAGTTGAATATCTAAATACCGTGTAAGTGGAAATTTTAGCGAGACGCAAATTTAGCAATTTGATTTTAAAAATTGGTATTTTTCAAGCAAGGTCTAATTTTAGGGGTTTCAAAATGCTCACTAGATAAGCTATTGCAAATGAAACATAATTCATTTTTTGCGATATTCAGTTTTAGCGATCTAAGCACCCTCGCTAATAATGCCAAAATTCAATCCTCTCTAAAAATTCAGCTGATATGGTAATTCTTTGCAAATTTCACTAAAGGCATATTTTAGAAGTACATGTACGATTGTACATGAACTCAATCATTTAATTAAAAGATAAAGGAAGAAATCTTTCAATCTAGAATCTCCATGAATACATTTGAGGATTACAAACATGAACTGCTTCAATATAACCTTTAAATAGAATAAGTAATCAATTATCATCATTTATTTGAATTTTGTTTCTCATATACTGTTAACCAACTATTATTCTTGTCATCCTTTATTCCTGATTAGTCAGTTTGAAATCAATCCACAATGATTAATTTTCACAAATAAGGAAATATTTTTTACAAACGCAAAGCATAATGCATGGTTCGCGCGATTAATATTCGCGATTAAAAGTAGGTCGTGAAACTGGTCGCAAAACTCGCGAATATTTCTCGCAAGCGGAAAAAAGTTGGTTTACAGTAATATCCTTTGAAGAACAAAACAATGTTTTATTGTTCCCTGTTCTTTATTGTTGAGGTCACCAGGACTCAGGTGTTCAGATCAGAAGCTTTTCTGTCAGGTGTGTTGTTATTATTTTATCAAACATTGCTCTTACTTTTATTTTTTTCTACAAAGCAATATTTTTAACCATATTGTCTAGGTATCAAACATTCCTTTTTAATTGTTGTACATCAACCCTGATGGTTTGTTTGTATCTCAATCAAAACACACAGACTGTCAGATGTGCTCCATCTTATCATATTTTATTTCTCTTCTGGATCATTTTATTAAAAAATTCAGATCAATGTTTTAAAGTTTTCCCTGTATGTGGGTGCCATTTGATTGTATAACAAACAAGTAAGTGACATATCAGCATTATAAACAGTTTGTGGAATCTCAGCCTATATTATATATCTATCCTGGAGAAAGACATATTTCACCCAGCCATGCCATCAGCCTTATCTTATTATTAAGAAGTTTTGTTTTTTATTTTGTTTTGAAAAGTTTACTTTTATTTTTGTAAGTGATGGATTACATTTAATGCATAATCATTAGTCTACATTTATCCCAAAAGAGGCAGTTCAATCCTGTACTACTAGTACAACGTATATGTTTTTTTATGAATTGTGTTTGTACATGGACTGTATACATATGATTTCTTATTTATTTGGAAAATTGACTGTGATTATTTTCATGATAGTGTTTCAATGTCACTTAGTATATACAGAATATGCATAATTACATGCATAAATAGAGTCTACCCTTGCCAAAAAATATTGAATTATTTCAAAGATTTTTAATTTCACTGTCTGTTAAAGGAACTTTACAGAAAATAGTTGCAATAAAATAATTTTTTATCTCTGAATTCATTTATTTTGATATGAGCCTGTACTTTAATGCCTGCTTGTGAAAATGAAAGATCATATAAAGTAGCAATTTGATAGTTTTCAATTTTTTAGCTCACCTGAGCCGAAGGCTCAAGTGAGCTGTTCTGATCACATTTTGTCCGGCGTCCGTCTGTCTGTTTGTCCGTCTGTCTAGCAGTTCGTCTGTCTGTCTGTAAACTTTTCACATTTTCCACTTCTTCTCAAGAACCGCTGGGCTAATTTCAACCAAACTTACCACAAAGCATCCTTGGGTGAAGGGGATTTAAATTTGTTCAAATGAAGGGTCACACCCTCATTCAAGGGGAGATAATTGGGAATTAATGAAAATATGGTGGTATGTTTTAAAAATCTTCTTCTCAAGAACCACTGTGCCAGGAAAGATGAAACTTATGGGGAAACATCCTCAGGTAGTGTAGATTCAAGTTTGTTCAAATCATGACCCCCGGGGGTAGGACGGGGCAACAATGGCTGACCAAAGTTTTACATAGAAATATATAGGAAAATTTTTAAAAATCTTCTTCTTAAGAACAGCAAAGCCATAATTGATCATATTTATATGGAAGCCTCCTCAGGTAGTGTCAATTCAAGTTTGTTCAAATCATGACCCTGGGGGTAGGGCGGGGCCACAAAGGCCGACCATGTTTTACATAGAAATATACCCGGGTATAGGAAAATTCTTTAAAAATCTTCTTCTCAAGAATAACAAAGTCATAAGTGATCATATTTATATGGAAGCATCCTCAGGTAGTGTCGATTCAAGTTTGTTCAAATCATGACCCCCGGGGGTAGTGTGGGGCCACAATGGCCGACCCAAGTTTTACATAGAAATATATAGGAAAATTCTTTAAAAATCTTCTTCTCAAAAATAACAAAGCCATTTTTGATCATATTTATATGGAAGCATCCTCAGGTAGTGTCGATTCAAGTTTGTTCAAATCATGACCCCCAGGGGTAGGGCGGGGCCACAATGGCAGACCCATTTTTTTTACATAGAAATATATAGGAAAATTCTTTACAAATTTTCTTCTCAAGAATAACAAAGTCATAAGTGATCATATTTATATGGAAGCATCCTCAGGTAGTGTTTATTCAAGTTTGTTCAAATTTTGGGGGTAGTTTGTGGTACATATGCCGACCCATGTTTTACATAGAAATATATAGGAAAATTCTTTAAAAATCTTCTTCTCAGAAATAACAAAGCCATAATTGATCATATTTATATGGAAGCAAAATCAGGTAGTTCAATTCAAGTTTGTTCAAATCATGACCCCCAGGGGTAGGGCTGGGCCACAATGGCCGACTATGTTTTACATAGAAATATATAGGAAAATTCTTTAAAAATCTTCTTCCCAAGAATAACAGTCATAAGTGATCATATTTATATGGAAGCATCCTCAGGTAGTGTCGATTCAAGTTGGTTCAAATCATGACCCCTGGGGGTAGGGCGGGGCTACAATGGCCGACCAAAGTTTTACATAGAAATGTGTAGGAAAATTCTTTAAAAATCATCTTCTCAAGAATAGCAAAACCATAACTGGTCAAAGGTTTACTTTTGGATTTAAACTCTTCAATAATAAACCAATTTCTACTTTTTTCTTAGCCACAGTGCTTGGGTGAGTGATGTGGCCCATGGGCCTCTTGTTCAACTTTGGCTAAGGAATAAATTATAACATCTGAATAGACATAATTTATTATCTTGTTGACATTTCGATGCTATACTTGCCTTGCATTTATCAATATCATTATCCTGCAATTAGTTCACCGCTGTATTAATTTCAAAAGCCGTCCTCATAGAAGGAATATCAGTACAATTTCTGAACTTGATTGTCTTAAACTCTGTAAGTTTTGATTCATGTCTGAATAAATACAGGGAATGTCAAACAGCATAAAATCAATATAATTGTTAAAAAAAAAATATAATAAAAACAAAAAAAAAAAAAAAAAAAAAGAACAAAAAAAAAAAAAAAATGAACTCACTAAATGATACCCCGCCTACCATATGAATATAATGGCAGTATGACTGTCCAAGTTTTGTTGTGGGAAACCTAAATTCTGTGTCAGATCAAAAAGTAAAATAGGAGGTGCACAATGGCAATATGTAATAAAAATTCTGTGAAAGTTTCATCAAATTTCATTCAGTGGTATGAGAGGAGGTGCGGGTAAGAAATGGGTACCCCAAGCTTAACAGACGGACAGCTAGACGGACGGACATACCAATTACTATATACCCTGCCGCTTTTCAAGCGGGGGTATAAAAAGAAGAACAACTGAAGGTACTACATTAAAGAAAGAAAGGTAGTTCCCATGTTTTGCTTTGAAAAACCCAAAATATGTGTCGGACCAAAAAGTAAAATAGGATGTGCAGTGGCACTATGTAGCAAAGATTCTTTGAAAGTCTCATTTCCATTCAGTTGCGGATAATACATAAGAGATGGGTACCCCAAAGCATGATGTGACCAGAAGCCTCGTCTTGGTCCCAGATCACGTCCTACCTTAATTAGAATTTAAAATCTCTTGAGATTTAATTACCTTCATCCTTCATTCCGAACAATGGTCGTAAAATTAAATATTTTGAATTTGAACTTTGATTACAAGGTAATCACACTTGAGCGGAATATATAATTTTCATAAAATGGAATTAAATCATATACATTTTGTACAATTTTTATGTCTTTATATGGGACAAGTATTATAAGAAAAAAAGGTAACATTTGCTAATATTTTCTAGCATTTTGAAAAAAAAATTGTAGCAAACGGCCTTAGTTTGGCAAAATTTACAAATAAAACAAGAAATTAAGATCTTAAATGAGATTCAAAACGCCGATAAAGCGTTATACAGGGTTGAGTTCCATCGTCTATATCCTGATTGAATATTAAACAGGACTCGTAAACCTTTGAAACATGACTGCACACGAGTGATTTGTACAGTATATAAATCAAATCTTCTAAGGTACTTGAGGGAGTGCTCACGCGAAATTATATATTTTTTAAAGTCTGTAGAAATAGAACTTGAAAAAATGTACATGTGCATACTTGCACGAGGCAGTGAGTACTGGACGACAAATGAAAGTGAAACCACATGTTCTGACCCAGACTAACCTACTTTAATCTGAGATTATAAAATGTACG